AGAAATCAAATTCCTATAATTGGAGTTCATGGTCTCAAACTCCAAAAATAATTTATCATAAGCATCTTGTAACTCATTAAAAGATTTTGAATTTAATTTATTTGAGTTAGAAGATACCTTTGGCTCTGTGAGAGCTAATAGAGACATCACTTTGATTGGTTCTTCTTCTTCCTTGTCTCCATAGATCTCCTCAAGCTTATCACTTGAACAAGAAGAAACTCCTCCATATACATTAGGATCAATTGCACAACATAACATGTGCATAGCCTTTTTGTTTTGTTGACTTTCTTCCGTTCTTGATCACTCCACTTCTTTGTCTTCTTCGTAGGAGAAGAATATCCTTTCTCGATTATCATCCAAGCTTCCATATCATATGCTTGGATAAATATCATCATAAACCTCTTTCAACGACGATAATTTGTCCCGTTGAAGTGTGGAGGCACGTCAATTGGTTTGTATTCTTCCATGGAGAATGAACCGGAAGTGGACACCATCTTTATCGATTTAACTCTTCCCGAATCGACTCAAGAGGTGGTTAAACCTTCAAATGAGTGAGGCTCTGGTACCAATTGTTGAGTTAATCGATTGATGGAATAGGCCAAGAGGGGGGTGAATTGGCAATTAAAATTTTGGTGGAAGCTTTTGAAGAAAATTGAAAAGATTTGCACATCGATTTAGAGTGGTTCGACTTTCTCAACCAAAGTCTATGTCCACTATCTTAGCTATCCACACTAAGGATTTTCCAACAAATTCACTAATTTGTTCTTTCTTTTGAGAACAAAGAGTAACCTTACAACTCCCTCAAGAATTATAGCCCAATTCTTGAGCACACTCTTTTTCAAAGAGAAATACACAAATTCGCAAACTTACAAGGAAAACGTCATAAGGCAATATGTTTGCACAATTCTAGAACAAGATAAAAACACTCAAATATAATTACAATTGAGCACAAATTGTGTTCTTGAAAGAAAAATGAATATTGAAAGGAAATTTGGCTTGATTTGCACAAACTTGATGTTTGATGCTTTCTCTCTTGTTTCTCTATGATTTATTCTTTCTTGTTGTTGATCAATGGCTTCAGAACTTGTTTAAATGCTCCTTCAAATGATTCTGAATGTTGGGGATGGTTAGTGGAGTCAATAGAGTCGTTTAAGTGTGAAAACAATTAATAAATTCAGTTGAGAGCGTCAGTGCATCGATGCATACCCATGGTGCATCGGTGCATAAGTGTAAAATTCAAATATTTTGACTGTTGGACCCTTAGTGCATCGGTGCACTAAGAGTGAATCGATGCATCAAGTGCATTCAATGTTTCAAAATAGCCAGAGTGCATCGATGCATGGCTGGTGCATCGATGCATCAAATGCATTCGATGTATCCATAAAATCCTTAGTGCATCGATGCATGGTATGTGCATTGATGCATGAAATGCATTCGATGTTCAATTTAATTCATGGTGCATCGATGCATGGATTGGTGCATTGGTGAATCACTCTGAAAAATTGATTTTAGGCTTGATTTTGGTTCAAAATACTTTGTGAAAATTGTTTTAAAAATAGTTTAAGTATAAAACACAATTTTACACATTTAGTAAGGTTTAAAATTGATCTTGAAAGACTTGGAGTAATAATTTGATATTCGATTAATTAAATCTAATATACTTAGAAAATCATTTGTAAAATCTTAAAATTCATTTAAACTTAATTTGTTATATCGAAACACAAAAATGTTTTCAATAGAAAGTTAAGCTTGAATGCTTAACAAAAGAAAAAAGAAATCATTTCTAAAAACAATTCACCTTTGTTAAAAATGACAAAATGCTTACACTGCCATTTTCATGGTCATATGGAACATACTAGTTCTATAAAGAAAGGAAAACATTTTAGAATTAGACAAGTATGGTTTCCTAAGGGAACAAGGGGCATTGAAACTAACGTCCAAGGATCCAAAGCAATTTGGATACCAAAATCCAATTAAATGTCTCTTATAGGTGTGTGGAAGCAATGGTGATGAAAGTGAAGATATTCAAATGCTCTAGCCACACTTGAAAAGGAATGGGTAACCTCTAAGCTTAATGTTTTTGTTTTAATTTATTGGTTGTCTATTTGTTGTATGCATGCATGAGTTTTGAACTTAAATGATTTTGTGTTGATTTTCTATCTCATGCATGTTAAAAAGAATTGTGATGAACATTTTCTAAAGTTTTAATGATTTTTCATAAATATTTGTTCATCATAATTAATTTTGGTCAAAATTGGTTTTAATGCTTTGTTTTTACAAATTTTAATTTTTGATCTTAATTTAAACGTTTATGCATGTGATTTATTGCAAATGATATCTCTTTAACAATTGATATCAATTTTTCAAATGCATAACATTTTTTTGATAGCTTTATGCACATGCACTTAAATACTATAATTGGTATTGCATAAAGTATATTAGACTTGAATATATTGAATTTCTTGTGCTACTAACATGTTTGTTCATTTTTGTTGAAATTCATTTTTTTAAGTGTCAAGCTTTTAAAGTTAATTTTTTGTTTGGAATGCTTTTATTGAGGGGGAGCTTTGATTTTTCAAATGATTTTATGCTAAAATTTACCACTTACTCTCCATTGTTATTTTTAAACTTTACAGTTGAATTATTTTTTATATAACAAAAAGGGGGGAAAGTATAGGTTTGAAAAATTCAATTTCTCAATGAAAAAGGGGGAGCTTTAATATTTTTAAAATATTTCTCCTTTTCATTAAATGTTTTATTAAGGGGGAGTTTTGCCAAAAATAATTTTTCAAATGTTTTGCTATATCAAAAAGAGGGAGATCGTTGAACCATGTTTTATAATATTTTGATATAACAAATTAAGGCAAAATGTTTTTAGCCTTGATTGAATTTGTTCAAGTTTTCAAAAATATTTCAAAGTCCATTAAACTAGAATTTGAGCACGAAATTGTTTTCTGGGTACGTAGTACCGATATTGTTCTTACAATATCGATAATATATGAACAATATCGATATTGTTCATGTGGTACCAATATCAAAGGTAAGAGAAGTATCAATACTCGCTAGGTAGTATCGATACTACCAGTTGTTTTCCAAATTGCTCAAATTTTAGATTGCAAAATAGGTATTGATACTCAAAGGGGTACCGATACTACTTTACACAGTAGTATCGATACCATGAAGCATAGTATCGATATTGGTCAAGCCCAATGATCTTTAACGACTAGTTTATTTAAATATTACAAAGGTAGTACCGATACTCATTAAAGGAGTATCGATACTCCCTGTCCTGGACAGTTTTATTTTACAGAAAATTAATCCCCAACGGCTCCAAAACATCTCCAATGGCTAGAAATGGCTACAATCTATTTTAACATATAAAAACAAGTTCAAGACACTTGAAGAAGTTTACACAACACCTATCTAAGCAATCAAATACAAGAGAAGAGTTTTTCACTCTTATTTTTCTTTCTCTTATAAATATTAGTGTTTGAGTGTGCTTAATTTTGTAAGCGTCTACCTTGTGAGATTTTCTTGTTTACATTTTTATTCCTTTTGTAAAAGGGGAGTGGTTCTATCTTAGCCATTGAAAAGATAGAGATTTGTAAATGATATCCCTTTATCCTATGAAAAAGAAAGAACAAATTAATGAATTTGTTAGAAAATCTTTGATGAGGAGCACAATTTAGTGACCTCTTTTATATTTTACCCAAATAGGTATTTGCATAGGATTCACTAAATATAATAGGTTCTATCAAGCCTATGTTTTAATAATACATGCAAATACTCTTATTTGATGCATTATTCTTTTCTCCATTTCTTATATTAATTTTTATATAGACAAACACAATGTATCAATACAGGACAACCTAAGAGAAACTAAGTGATGAAAATGTTAATTTAAAAATTATATCAAATATGAATGTGTTTATTATAAATTCATATTTTAATATTTTTTATAAGGTTAAGTGATAAAAGAAAATTTTATTCTCCTTAAGTTATAGATTTGAGCAACGAAGTCTACATAACATGTGTGCGTTGTCAATTAATTAACAAAACTTTAAACAAATATTACCTTATAATCGTTTGTCCATTAAAAATATATACAAATATTATTAAATAAATAAATAATTCAAATAATATAAATTACAGCTTGTCAGATAGAGAGAGTGATAAACTACATGATATAGGAGTTTCATTTATTTGAAACACATGATGTTCAATGAAGCAAGTGCAAAATTTATAATTTATAAAAATTATAAGACAGAAACATAAAATTTCAACTTTTTTTGGTTGAAATATTTGTCCTTGTCCTTACCTGAAAAAGAATAACAAAGCAGAGAAGGAAAACACAGGGTTGTGGAAAGGCTAAAAAATCTGTGTTATTAGGTTCAGCACTAACTTCCCCGTCTTGAAACTTGATCATCATCATCCTGCTGCGTCACTTCTTTTCATGACCAATCATGTGCTCCTTTGTGTTCACAGTAAATTTTCATCATCACAAACCATGTAATTTCTTCTCGCTTCGGCCTAAATTTATATCTATATTTTTATTAAACCAGATATCGGTTCAATTGTTTTCCTAGAAAGTTAGACTAAGCGTCGACTTGAAGAATGAATGAAGAGCATGACTTGACAAGATCTTTCTCCAACACTGGAAAACCTTTTTTAAATCAAACCCAAATTTCAAAAAGATTTTATAAAAAAACTCGATACCATTTGTTCTATCAAATCATTTGCTTAACCCACAGCTTTCGTAGCAAATCTAACGGCTCGGAATTTTACAATTGGTGGACCCTTTGCCAGCTTACCGGTAACATGCAACTCTTTCATCCATCATCTTCAGTTTCTCAATAATTCATCAAATACCAATCTCACACAAAAGTTACCTGCCAACTCTAAGCAAATTCAACAGTTTTACCCAAAATAAGGGCCAAAAAGTAAAAGAAGAATTTGCCTCGGATAAAACTTATTTACACAGCTAGAGTAATTTTAAAAGAAAATAACCCCAAAGATAATTTTACTATTCAAAAAGCAAAAAATAAACTAAAACATTTACTCGTACAAGTACTTACCAGCTACCACAGATAGTTTTCTTACCGAACTCGGCTCATCAAAACCCAACTCCAAGTGAAGTCGGCTCGAGCTTCCTGTTCTTCCAAAAACAAGCATCGGGCGCTAGCTTAGCCGATGGCTTCCTCGGCTCAGACTTGCAGCGCATGAGCGCAAACGGCTCATACCCTTTACCTCCATGTCCAACAATCTCGTGGTCTTTCTTAGTAGTCATAGACCTGCCGCCATTAGATGCAGCAGCAACCGCCGTGTCCATCGGCGGAGCAGCCGGGAAAGAGCAAGAAGACCTTGGTGGCTGTAAGAAGATAGGGCGAGGGTTAGAGTCAACGCTGATTCTTCTCTTGGGTTCATCTCCACCGTCCTTTGGTTTGACCACCGGTTGCTTCCTCTTCTCCGGTAACCATCTGATGAAATCCGTGCTGCACACCCAAGTCTCCTTGGATACCTCCATTGACAGCTTTGGCTCGCACATCATTAACAGCAAACAATCTGGCAATAACTTCTCTTCACTTTCACTCTCCTTTGACTCATTTTCCGGGTCGGCTTCTCGGGTTTCCGGTTTACCAAATTCGGATCTTTCATGGGTTGTTTTACATTCTACCTCCACTGTTGAATCTTCTTCTTCTTCTTCAGCTTCTGTTTGATCTTCCCCTTCTTCCTCTTCAGCTTCAGCTTCTTGTTGTAGCAGGTCTTCAATGGCGGATTCATTTTCTTCAAAGGATGGCTTTTCAGCATCATCATGTGAAATTTCAGTCAAAATTTGTTCTTTTAATGTTGATTCTTGCTGGGTTTCTTCCACTACATTTTCATGTTCTTGATCCTGGCATTCTACAATTGTTTCTTCTACAATTTCACCACTTTCATCCTTCACCAAAACAGATTCAACCTCTGTTTCAGCTTCTTGGATTTCTTCTTCATCATCTGCTTCACAAGAAACAAGCATTTCACGGACTTCACTAACTTCTTCATGTTCCATTTCAGCTTCCACAGTATCCTCTTGGAGTCCTTGTTCTTCCAATTTCTCTTCACTTCCATTTTCAGCCTCTTCTGCTGCCTCATCGTCTTCATGTTCATCTTTAGGGAGTGAAGTTTCCCAGAATTTATTAGCAAGGGCAGCCATTTTAACAGGATCAGATCTACATCTCATCAACAATAAAGCATTCTTAGGTGGTATACAGATACTCACCCTTGCTTCATCTTCATCATCACCAATATTATCAGAAACAAAATCATTGATTTCAATATCTTCAAAAACATGTCTCCTTTGGCTTCTTCTCATCGTCATCTCACTACTTTCCCTTCTCTCATCATCTTCTTCCTCACCAACAACCAATTCAACCTCTCTCACTTTCCCTTCCCCTTCCCCTTCTTGAACATCCACAAGCCACCTTGTGAAAACAGCCCCACATGAAGAAGAAGAAGACCTCCCATTTCCATTTCCATTCCCATTCCCATTCCCATTCCCATTCCCATTCCCAGATCCTCTGGTTTTCCCTTCTTTGTTATTATCCCTTTGGTTAGCCATACAAGACGACCTGCAAGGTAAAAAACAGTTAAACTCGGACCCAAACGCCCTCAATGCTTCACAAATAGTCAATGGGAAATGCACCCATTTCTTGCATTCTTGCTGCTGCTGCTGTTGACGATGATGACTACTACTGCTCAAAAAATGATCCATGTTGTAATCTTGATGATCAAGACTGTTGCTGCTTCCATTCTCATGATCCATTTTTCTGAAACTAACTTCTCTTCTTTTAGATCTACAAGCTCTCAACTTTTTCCCCTGTTTCTTAGTCTTCACCCTGACTTGACCAATGCAAGTGACCTTCGGTGAAGACGGCTCTGGGTTCTCGAAAACGCCGCCGCCTCTCTTTTTGCCATTATTGGTTGTGGGGAACATGGGTGAAGCTTGACCACCTTTCATACTACCATTACTTCGAAGCCTCCTACTGAGCGATGAAGAGAGAGAGATTTGTGAAGAAGAAGAAGAAGGCTCCCTTGAACGACCGGGGCTGATGATCGATTTAGAAGGGATTTTCATCGACGAAGAAGACGAAAGGCGTGAAGTGAAACAAATGAAGAGCTCACTCGTGGTGCTTGTTGTTGTGTTGGTGCCGCTAGTGCTACTGTTGTTGATGCTAGTACTTCGATGGGGTCGCTCAGGATCCATTATTGATTGATTTTTTTTCCCCTTCTACCGTGGCATGACCATCTCAATAAACAAAAATCAACGACTAAAAAGTTTTGATTTTTTTTCTTGGGGATGGTCAATGAAGAAGTAATGGGGGCTTTGGTTGTTTGATAGTTGAGGGGACGCAGAGCTTTACAGATGGAAAAGATTAATGGAAGAGAGAGGGGATACTGAAATGAAGAAAGTGAAAGAAGAGAGGGGTTTAACGGAAGATGACGAAATGTTGTTTTGTCTTTAGCTTACCCATAAGTTTTTTCTTTCTGCTTCCAATGGGGCATGGGTGTTTGTGTATTTTTCCTCTCTTTTCTTATTAATAGAATGACTATTTTAGCCTTTTGGAGTTTTTAAAGCATATATCAATTTTAGTCTATCAAATTTGATTATGTTTTTAATTTGGTCCTTTAATTTCATGTTTTACCATTTTATATTCTAAAATCGATTTGTCTAGGTTTTGTTAATGGTATGATATTTTGATATTGTGTCACATGATTCTCATAGTGACATGTTAATAAAACAATAAAAAATTAAATTTAGATATTTATATGTACAAAAAAATAAAATATCAAAAAATATAAAAAAAGACGGCAACATATTGATGTGTTTGGAATCTTTTATAATAAATGGACTAATTTATTCTTAATATATAGTATAGGGAGCTTATATGTAATTTAAACTGATTATAGTTACCATTGTGCTTGAAAGGGTAAACTGAGAAAAGACGGCAACATATTGATGTGTTTGGAATCTTTATTTGTAATACATTTCAAGAATTTTTGGTAAAAATGAAATTACAAAATTAGTTTTTAATCTTTTTTTAGGAAATTTGATTATTGATTTGCAGTGAAAACCGATATTAAATAGGATATTATAAATAATAAAAAATATAATTGCATAAAATTTTAATTATTTTAAAATAACGTATTTATTTTTAATTTATTTATGATTAAATTTTAATTAATTCATCAATATTATTTAGGCGATTTTCTAAAAAAATTACCTTTTTGTTATATATTTACCTGTCAGACACTCTTTTCGATATATTTTTCGATTTAACACCTTTTATAGAAAGGCGCGGGCCTATGCAATACACCTTACGCTACGTTTTGAAAGTCGTAGCCCATACACCGCATCTTACGTCACGCCTAAAAATTAGGTGCTAATTTAGTAAATTTCTTTAAAATAGTATCAAATATATAATTAATTTCTGTTAGGGTGATATTTATGTAAAAACGTCAACTTTATTTATTTATTTATTTATTTTTGTATGCATAAAAAAACTTTCTACATTAAAATCTTTAAATATTCTTTTACAAATTATTTTATAACTCGACAAATTTTGATTTTTGAATGAAATTACACAATACATATAATCTAGTGTAAAAAAACTTTGAGTGTATGTAATTTAAAATATGAATAATTTTATAAAAGTTTTATAACTAGTATTTCTTTTACAAAATGATGATGATGATGATAAGAAATATTTTATAATTTAAAAAATTATAAATTTCATATATTTTTGAAAAATTTATTGACTTTTAAAATTAATTGTTTAAAAATATAAAAATATTAAAATAAACTTTTAATTACAATTAAGTGATCAAATGAATTATTATTTTTTAACAACAGTTAATAATGTTTATTCATTTTTAATAAAATTAAAATTTAATATTTATTTTATATTTTTTAAAATTAATATTAGAAAGAATATTTTAAATATATATGTGATATTTTTTAGCCTTACATTCTTTTTTTATTGAATTTTGTTACAAGTTTAGAGAGTAACATACAAGAAAGAAAAATCTTTAGATTTTCATGTATGTATTTATACTTTTCTTTTAGAACATTTACTATAATTTTTCTTAATTAATTTGAATAATAGCAGAATAAATGATTAATTTGAATTATAACTCATATATTTAAAATACAATAAAAATACAATAAAAAAGAATTAAAATTCAATAAAATTCAATAAAAAAAGAATGTAAAGCTAAAAAATATCACCTCTTTATTTTAAAATATTCTTTCTAATATTAATTTTAACAAATATAAAGTAAATATTAAATTCTAATTTTATTGAAAATGAATAAAAATTATTAATTGTTGTTAAAAAATAATAATTAATGAATAATAATTCATTTGATCCCTCAATTGTAATTAAAAGATTATTTTTATATTTTTAAACAATTATTTTTAAAAGTCAATAAACTTTTCAAAAATATATGAAAATTTATAATTTTTAAAATTATAAAATATTTCTCATCATCATCACCATCATTTTGTAAAAGAAATACTAGTTATAAAACTTTTATAAAATTATTCATATTTTAAATTACTTACTCTCAAAGTTTTCCTATACTAAATTATATGTATTGTGTAATTTCATACATAAATTAAAATTTGTAGAGTTATAAAATAATTTGCAAAAGAATATTTAAAGATTTTAATGTATAATTTTTTTTCACACACAAAAATTAAATAAATAAAGTTGACGTTTTTACACAAAAATCACCCTAACTGAAATTAATTACTTATTAGAAACATTTTAAAAATATTTACGAAACTAGCACCCGATTAGGCACAGTGCATGAGTCGCGCCTTTCAACACGTTGGCCACTTCAGGATAAAGCACGGTTCATGTGTCGCGCCTTTTTGTAAATGGTGTTAGATCGAGAAATATATCTGAAAGAATGTCTGGCAGGTAAATATATAACGAAAAAGTGATTTTTAGGAAAAATCACCTATTATTTATGCATATAAGATTATAAATATGATTGGATTATAATATACTAGTTTAGATATATATCAATAATTTATTTAACTATCGTTTTAGAAGTAAATTTTATATATTTATAGGAATGGAGCTCGACATAAGAAACCAGGGCATGGAGTTATCATTCGAAATTATGATGGTGAATAGAGGATTAGATTCACCAAATTTATAGAGATATGTTCGGTATTGGAAACTGAGATTTGCGGATGTATTTAGGATCGTTATATGCTTGGGAGAGGTTGATAGTTTGGAAACAATTGAGGCATTAAAGGTGGCCGAAATTGGACCTAGTTGAGTGACGCTTGTGAAACACATTGCCGAAAAATAACAAATGGAATAAGATAACATTTCCCCCCAATCTTTTTTTGTGTGTGTCCGATTCATGCAGAAAACCTTCCACGTGACTGATTTTGATGTTTGGTTGTAAATGTTGGAAATAATGATCGTAAAATCACACCATTAACACTGAATGTGAATAATAAATAAAAATTATTAATTCGAACAACCGAAACCGTGTCGTGGTATAACTACTGTCTTAGAAACGAATTCGCCCCGATGTGTGTAATCGCTTTAATAGATGGATCGTCCCCTGAGGTTAACATGGTCTCTCTAAATACCGTACACCCATAATCGAAATGGACTGTTGGTGGTACTGCTCCTCGCCAGAAAGAATCAGAAACTTAGAAAGCTTTGAGAGTATTGAGAGATTTTTTGGTAAATTGGATGAATTGAGAAGCTGAAATAAACTCTCTATTTATAAGCCTTCACGTTAGGGGCAAAATGGTCCAACGTGCATCTGATTTATTTCTGATTTAATTGCTAGATTTAAACTTTGTTGTAACATATGAATTAAACAAATGAACATGACCTCAAAACAGTCCAGATTTGTAGTTTAATTTCCAACCGTTTGTAACTCATGATATTATTACTGTAACTCCTATAACTGGCATAATAATCAGCTGTTAATTCCCTTTGAACAGAGATGTAGAACATTCTAGATACATCCAACATACAACGTTACACATGTTTAAATTCCATAAATTGGTTTAAATTTCAGAAATCAAAATAGCTAATTAATGTCAACTGTTACACTCTGAAATTCAAATCAAACACAACCTATAAATATCAAACTGAAAATTCTTTTACAATTTTATTTTTTATTTCAGAGAAAAATCCCTTACAAATTTTCTCTAAAAATATAGCAACCGTGCGGACGTGTTGAAGACACATATTGCCACGAGCCACGACCTCGACCTCGACCATGTCCACGAGCTGAGCCGATTCTCTATCACTCAATAAGGAAGTGAAGAATGTAAACTTTAAATACCCAATCCCGATGTATTTCCCACTCTATATGGGATTAAAAATTACTAACATTCCCCACTAATGCGAAAGAATTCTTCTGAAACTTAAAAACAATCTTTTCAGAAGAGCAATAGCGAGATTTGTTGCTTAAGCACTAGTGAACGTATCTTGAGCTAGTACATAGTGATGATAAGCAATCATTCTCTTAGACAAGTGAAACTAGTCTTGAACTTTCTAAGATAAAGGTAAACTCGTAACACACAACTAACCCCTTCATCCACCTGAGTCATCGATGTGTAAGATATATATATACACACACAAAAGTATATATTTGGCTATCTTACCTTAGGATTCTAATAAGTGTACTAGAAAAACAACACATAATTTTTCATAGAAGGTGGCTAACCCTTCTCACTTACATAGGTTATTTCATCAAGTTTATCTCGACAAAAACCACCCAAAATCGGGCTATGAAATAATTAAGAGCTATACAACAACTCAACCTCACAAAGAGTATGGTGACTTTCTTCAAGTTTATTATAATAAACCACCCAGACTCTAGGATAAGAAGTCATTAAGAATAAATATACAACCTTATTATTCGGTAAATTCAATAAGTCATTCTCACTAGAACCATCTAAACTTCTGGATTTGAATTCATTAAGAGTTTATATAAAACTCAACCTTTCTAGCGGTAAGTCCATTCTGTCCTTCTCAATATGACTACCAACTCAACTCTAGGTTATGAACTTATTTAGAATATATATTCAGCCAAAGTCGGTAAATTCATCAAGTCTTTCTCACTAAGAACACCCAAAGCTTGGGCTATGAATTTATTAAGAGCAATTAAGCTCAACCTGGCATGTACATTATTCGTCATATGAATGGATAGAGAGAAATGTACACTATGAGTCTTTCCACGGTTTCTTTTGACCACATTGAACTT